TGTTGGCTGTGAAATCAGGGCCCGACACGAGTCCGTTTCTAGGCGTCTTGAAAACGAAGTCCTCCTGACTATCGAAAATTTTACGAAGTCCCTTACTACACTTGCTCTAGCCCCCTCCCCCCACACTCAGACTGTTGATGGATCCCCGCGTACTCATTTAGTCCTCAACAAAACCATTTACCTGCTGCGACCTGAGAATCTCGCTATTTCAGGTCAAACTCCCAAAGAAAAATCATAAATCCACAGAAATTTGCTTCATAAAGCCCTACATGGTCAGAACAGCTCAAGATAGATCACGAGCACAAGAAAGATGAAGAAGAGAGAAAAACGGAAAAAATCACCAAATTTTGAAAAAAAAACTGGAAATGCAAATTCAAAGGGAGAGGACGCAGAAAAGCTGACGCTGGGACGCGATATCTAACAAGGCAATTCTCCGAAAAAAAAAGAGGGTAAAAACGGCGGATAGGGGGCGATATGAAACTGTCCCTCTGCTCAGGCAAAGATTCTTGATCGGGGCATCCGCCTCTATTAAGGAAATCCGAAACTTACGTGAAGTGACTGAAATGTATGCTCTAGACAATCTCAGATCTTCTGGTGGCTATCTGGAGACGGACTAATCTTGGAAAAGGTATTACTTCACATAAGTTTTCAAATATTTTTACATAATTCTTTCCCAATAATTTTCTATGTATACGGTTCAACTTTGGTGTCATATGATTCTGTGTGTCAGTAAACAAGCAATTTTTTTTATTTTAGCCTTGTTTTCAATTCGCGCACTTTTCGCCATACACAATAGAGCATGTCAACCGTGTGATAACCTGCCCGAAAAGCTCCCAACTCCGCAAGAAATATCCCCTTTGCTTTTCGCTCCAAGACGAAGTCCAACCTGCTTTCAGACGATCTGTGCCGGGCACTGGTTGAGATGCCTTCATAATGTGACGGCTGACGGCGGCTACCGGCTAGCCGAATGTAGCCGCCGCCAGCCTTCGGCCGCCTAGCCGACAGTCGCTGCTAGAGGCTTTTCTTATCTTGAGAGCGCGAAATTATTAGATTTCTACTATGCTCAACGCATCCTTTACGCAGCTACACCTTAGACTGGCATAACAAAATTTTGAAATGGAACAAGCCTCTTCCTTTTTCATGGTCAGAAAATCGAAAACTTTTCGCATTTTGATAGGTCTACTTCAGTATCTTAAAACAATTAAATCTTTTCTCAGTAGCGAAACTCGGTCAATTTGAATTTCATTGTCATAAAATATACTAAATGACACCATAAGATACACTACTTTCAAGAAATTAGGCCATCGATTCACGACTTCGCTGAAACTTAATATATAGCGAGGAAGCACTTTTTCCTTTCCTACAGAACTTGTTACGCTTACGCTTGTTCTTAGGTTGCAAATTTATTTTCGATGTATATAAAATAAGCATTGATTTTCCGTAATTTCCACACTAAAATCAATTTCCTTGGCACCATTTGATTAGCAAGTGTTAGGTACGGGTAGGTCGTAAAATTCGAATTACGATGGTGCCGGAGGTCATCCAGATTTTTACTAACACAAGAAATCGATACACGGCTGCTCAAATTTACCAATCCCAGTATAAAAATTTGTCATCATTTGATAATTAAGAAACAGTTAACAAGAGTATTACCGCTAAGCCAGTATGGTTTGAAAATAGCATATGTGTTGAAAAAAAGTTACGCAAAAAAATATTAGTTCATTTATTTATTAGTTGCACATAAGTTTTGCAACTTTTCCCATAAGTTTCTTCTTATTCGGTATAGCACTCTCATTCTCTGGCATCATGTAGAATGTGACGTTGCTGCAAGTCTGTGCAAACCGTTCGATTACTGATAACGTAGTTGAAAAAATTTCAACATTTTTCGAAAATTGTCGAATATCGAGGTTCCATGGCTTTTTGGAAAACGTGAAGCCGTACAAAACCTGAATCAAACATACCAAAAAGGAATGATAGGCACCATGTAGCTAGAAGTTGATATGTTCGAATCAGTAAAAAAGAAGTGAAACTCAAAGACAAGCTCATATGAGGCGCCTTTAAGAAGCAGAACAAGTCAAATGCGTCAAGTTTTGAAGGCAACTGTCAATAACTAAGCTGCGAAACCTCAAAATTCGTTAAAACTTTGCACAATAGGGTAATCCATTACGGTGAACACGAATATCATTTTCATTTGTCGCCAAAATAACATCCTCTTTTTGATCCCAAAAAAGAGGCTTTTCATGCAAAACGGGTCTCTTTTCTGTGACCAGCATGTCGAATAAGTACTCTGCGTTGATACCACTGCTT